GGGGGCTGGCTCCAGCCTGCCGGCTACCTGTGCCCTCCACCCACCCCCTTATCTCTACCCTGGAGCCACTCCCCGACGCCCGTCTGGTTTCTGCTGCTTGTGCACGGGGCGCTCTGGCGCAGTCTTCTCCGGAGATGAGACCCAGAGTTTTAGGGTTGCCACGGAGGCTGCGCCCGCGGGGCTCCATCCCTCCAGGGACCCAAGGGGCTCGTGCTCGCTTCGGCAGCCAGCCGTGGGAGGGACCCAGGGATTAGCCATTACGCGTGGCCCCCGCCCAAGGGTGACCGCAACTCCGAAGCCTCCCCTCTTTTAAAAGGAGGGTCTTTCCCCACACCCCTAGCCCCGAGCTGCACCTCTTTCCTCAAAACGGGGTGCATGCGCCATCTAGTGGAATTGTGTGAGGTGACAAAATACCTCCGTAAAAATACTGAAAATTGGCTCTGATCTGTTTGTCGCCTTCATCTTCCCAGCGTGCCTGTATCTCAGCTGGGAGCTGCTCCGCGGGAAAGCAGTTTCTGGGGCGCGTCCCTCTCCGTCTCCTGAGTGCAGGATGGGCGGTGGGAGCTGGAGGGGCGGGTGACTCTTCAAGATGCACCCCAGGAGCCCTCTGCGCCACCTCCCCCAGGGAACCCCGGCTCCGACGCCCAGGAGGTCGGATGCCTTGCAGATCCCTGCGCTCCCCGCGGGCCACTAGAGGACGGCCCTGGACTCAGCCGCCCACCTCCCCTAGCCCCTGCAGCCCCTGCCCCCTCCGCCCAGTCCAGCTCTCCTGTTAGTTTTCCCTTCTGCTCCTCTGTTCCCTGTCTGGGGCACGCGGCAGGCGCTCCCCATCCTGGTCTCTCCAGGATGGGCAATGGGAGGCCTGCTATCCCTCAACAGCTAGCGCAAGGGGTAGCTCGCACGGTGACCGGCTCCGTGCAGCCAGAAGGGATCCCCGCCCAGGGTCTTGGGGAGCCTTCCCACCCCCTCAGTGTGCTGTTGCCAGACTGCCGCCTGGCGCTGTGGGAGCTGCGCCCAGGGCTGAGACTCGTTTCTCCTGATTCCTCCCGTCAAGCATGCGGTCACTTCGCGTGTCCCCCCCAGGGGGGCCCTGGGTGGCCAGGCTGGCTCAGAAATACTTCCTCACCAGCAGGGGGCGCCCTCACCCGCTGGGGGAGAAATATGCGAATAAGTCAACATTTAACTTGAACGGAATCCAAGGGGCCGTCAAACGATGAGTCCCTGCAATCACAAACAGTGGAAATGTCATATATATGTTCTAAAAGATAATCAGATGTGGATGGCACCTATAATGTTGTAAGTTCACAGTGGTTTACATTCTTGGCATTTCCCACGCATCGCAGCATGTGCGACTAAAAGATGGAGCTTGAAAGAGGAGGTGGGTGGCTAGAAACGGCTGGGGACAGTCTCGCCCCCTCGCTTACAACCCAATAACTCGCTCAGAGCCGGCTCTGCTGTTGGGGTCCCCTGCTGCCGGCAGCAGCGTGGCGCCCAGCTCCTCTCTCCCCCCCAGTGCAGACGGGGAGTTTGCGGTGACCCACCTGACCAAGGCACACCTCTTCTCCACGGGCACCGTGCACTGGACACCGCCCGCCATCTACAAGAGCTCCTGCAGCATCGACGTCACCTTCTTCCCCTTCGACCAGCAGAACTGCAAGATGAAGTTCGGCTCCTGGACCTACGACAAGGCCAAGATCGACCTGGAGCAGATGGAGCAGACCGTGGACCTGAAGGGGTACTGGGAGAGCGGCGAGTGGGCCATCGTCAACGCCACGGGCACCTACAACTCGCAGAAGTACGACTGCTGCGCCGAGATCTACCCCGACGTCACCTACTACTTCCTCATCCGGCGGCTACCGCTCTTCTACACCATCAACCTCATCGCGCCCTGCCTGCTCCTCTCCTGCCTGACCGTGCTGGTCTTCTACCTGCCCTCGGACTGCGGCGAGAAGGTCACGCTCTGCATCTCCGTGCTGCTCTCGCTCACCGTCTTCCTGCTGCTCATCACCGAGATCATCCCGTCCACCTCGCTGGTCATCCCGCTCATCGGCGAGTACCTGCTCTTCACCATGATCTTCGTCACGCTGTCCATCGTCATCACCGTCTTCGTGCTCAACGTCCACCACCGCTCGCCCAGCACCCACAACATGCCCCGCTGGGTGCGGGTGGTCTTCCTGAAGCGGGTGCCCCGCTGGCTGCTGATGAGCCGGCCCCTGCCCGCCCCGGAGCTCCTGGTCCCCCCGGGCCCGAAGCCCAGCGCCCCCTGCGGCTGGCTGGAGACCAGCGTGGACGCGGAGGAGAGGGCCGAGGACGAGGAGGAGGCAGACGGGTGGGCGTGTGCGGGGCGCTCTCCCCCCTCCACCGGTGTCCTTTGCAGCCACGAGGGCCTGCGCCGAGGGGCCTCGGGTCCCCAGGAGGAGGCCCCGCTGCAGGAGGGTGGGGTGATGCTGTCACCCCGCGTCCAGAAGGCGCTGGAAGGCGTGCACTACATTGCCGATCACCTGCGGTCTGAGGATGCTGACTCTTCGGTGAGTCGGGCTGGGGGCGGCCCCGGCGACGCTGCAGCCCCGCAGGAGCCCTCTGGGCCTCGGTGTCAGCTGGGCCAACCCAGGCCCCTCTGCCAGGCCCCCACCCAGCCCCGCCGGGACAGAGCGAGGGTTTGGACATGAGCCGCTGACTGGCAGGTACAGAACGGCAGTCAGCAGTGGCCAGCTGGGCCGAGCGGGAACGGGACCCCCTGAGAGGAGCGTTCCCGGCCCCCAGGTCACCCCTAGCGGTGTCGGGAGGCGAGGACCTGGCTCCAGGAGCCACGGGATCCACTGGACACGCCAGGTCCTGTGGGTCTCCTCCTCGTTCGCATCACTTTTCACTCACACACCCGGTGGCGTCTTGGTTGTGACCCCCACCGTGTCCATCATGGTTGGGTGAGCAGGTCACCAGCCAGGCAGGGGAGCACCCTAGGGCAGGGTGGAAGGTCAGAGGTTATTACTGGCTGGCCTCGTTGAGGGAAACACTGAGCGCGATCTAGCCTGGGAGCAACTCGGAAGCCAGACCTGCTGGCCTGGGCTGTGAGCCCGTGCCACAAGGCCTCCTCTCTGCGCCCACTTCCCTGGGCCTCCTGGGCTGTGAGCCCGTGCCACAAGGCCTCCTCTCTGCGCCCACTTCCCTGGGCCTCCTGGGCTGCCCTTGTGCCCACTGGTCTCCTCTCTGTGCCCACTTCCCTGGGCCTCCTGGGCTGC